CCACGCAGTTACGGCACGACGTGGGTGACACAGCCCCAGACACTCATTTTGAAGACAAAAGCGTCCTGCTCCCCCCCATCCCTTTCTCCCTTCCACATCCCAGTCATTTTTTTCCCCCCACGAGTTGATGCTTTAGTCCCTTTGATGTTCTTTTAAAGTCCCGGCACCAAAGGAGCTCGTGCGAGACTCTGCCTTCGGTTCTGCCCGTTCCTCCTCCAGCGAGAGCGAGGAGCCAGCCCACCCCCAGCAGCAGCACAGCGGGAGCCCCCGACCCTCCCTACTGCCCCGCAGCTCTCCGTGGTGGAGCCCCTTCCCCACTGCATCCCTGGGCAGGGATGTGCCCCCCTCCGGACACAGCCAAGGATGTGTCCCTGGAGTCCCCGAGCCCTTCAAACCACATAGAATCATAGAATCGCTGAGGTTGGAAGGGACCTTTAAGATCATCAAGTCCAACCATTAACCTACCCTGACAAAACCACTTCTAAACCACTTCTAAACCACCTCTAAACCCCGTCCCCAGGTACCACCTCTACCCTTTTTTTCAAACACCTCCAAGGATGGCGAATCCACCCCCTCCCTGGGCAGCCTCTTCCAATGTTTAATAACTCTTTCCGTGAAACATTTTTTCCTAATATCCAATTTAAACCTCCCATGGCATAACCTGAACCCATTTCCTGAACCCATTTCCTCTCGTCCTATCGCTTGTCACCGGGGAGAAGAGGTCAGCCCCCACCTCTCTACCCCCTCCTTTCAGGTGGTTGTAGAGAGCGAGAAGGTCTCCCCTCAGCTCCTCTTCTCCAGTTCCCTCAGTCATTCCTCATCAGGCTCATAAGATGTTGCTGAGATGCTCCTGCCCAGGAGAGGCTGACACCCACCACATGGTTTTGGGTCACCCCGAACCCCCAGGGGTGGTGGCCGTGAGCCAGGATGCGGTTGGGGTGATGGTACCACGCTGCCCCGCGCCGAGGGACTCGGCCATCTGCCTGGGGACTTGGGGACCAGTGGCAGCGTGACGATGGCCACGGAGCGGCTGGGTCGATGGCTCCCTGCGAGCGCACAGCCCGACCCGGCTGATGGGAAGGGACATTCGGGAGCTGAGCGGGGTTGGCTCCATCTAGAAGCCGGTGCAGAAGCCCCAGGGCTGCACCGGGGCACGGGGCAGGAGGAGGCAGCAGGGCAGAGGCTGCGGCAGGGCCCGGG